AAGCCCATGATTTCTCTCCTTGGTCATAATCAAGTCACTCTCTTATGACACTTATGGGATGAAGACACTATGATGTATTTGTGGATATGAAACCCGATCTCCAATCTGATATTCATACTAGCTTACTTCGCTACGATGGCCATCGGACTACCCATATACCATTGAGAGTACTTCGGTGTTATCGCGGAGTTCATTGCAGCGTGAAATTGACAATCGAAACTTGCAGCATTCGTAATATAGCCTCCAGTTCGTAACATTACTATTGTGGACAACTTGAAGCTCTTCTGCCTACATGAAATCAATGAAATGCTGAGATTTATAAAACCAGGTTTCGGGTCGCTTAAGTTTCATGCAGCGGTTCTGCATAACACTCAACACGTAGCTCACAGATGACTTTTTCAACATCCATATCAAGATATCTGACAAACATATGCAAATAATAATAATAATTTGCTTTATTCCAAAACAGTACTTGTGATACAGAATAGAATTCTCAGCATTTCACTACAGTATTGCATCCAGTTAGTACATTAACAATAAATAAAATTCTACATAGATTAAGGGTAATCTCAGTTAGTTTTGACAACAACATATTGGCATGTCGGTAGCAAAGCCAAAATTGAACAGTGTTTGAAAGTGTTAGAAAAGTAGATACTAGGACATTTACTGGCGTAAGCGGTAACAAAAGGTCGAGATATACAGAGTGTGAAAGAACGAAGAAGAATGTTTTAAATAGAGTTTTTAAGGAAGAAAGAAACAAAGCAGCACATCACAGAAAGAAGAGAGGGAGAGAAAAGGAAAAGAAAGAAAGAAAACGTTGTACCTATAAATGATATGAGTTGGAAAGACGAGATCCAGTTGTTCTACTGACTATTTATTGAATTATAGGTGTCACGCCTAATGCTTTCTTTATCACACAGAACACGAGCTAAGTAGGGTATGGTTGAGTTTTTGTACTTGCTTGCTGGTGCGAGCATATAGTTTTCTATATAGGCTTCTTGTTTTACCTGATGAGATGCAAGGGGAGAGTTGTGAGTGAAGAGGGTGGTGTGAGTTAGATAAAATGGATTTGGCCCATTTTTCACATGAGTTCATGTGCCTGTCAACCAGAGTATTAGCAAGCTGGTTAAGTGGCACGTTGCTTACCCTGCTGACAACCTTTAACATCCTGCGTAAAATGTTATAGTCTTTCTTCAGTAGCCCAGGAAAAACTAAGGGGGAACAATAGAGAATAATAGGCAGGATGCAAGAGTTAACGAATCATAAGAGTAAGAGTTGGGTTATTTCAGAATGTCTTAACTTCTTGATGTAGAAGCCTTCAGCAAACTAACCAAATATTTAGTTATTATCATCCAGTCATTCAACACGTACTAAGGCAGCGTAGTATTCTACGCATACTCTCTACACCATGTGGTTTAGCATTAGTGTCCTTTTGTTTTAATTCTATTTAGTTTAGGAGATTGCAGCTTAAATTGTGAAGTGAATAAAGCAATAAAAGTCAAGATTACTAGAGGCTCAGTATTACTATTTGTATTTAAATCACCGAAGATACCCATTGAGTCATTAGGAAAATAAATAAGAAATAAAAATAAAAAAGTGTACAATTTTAACAAACTTTTGTCCATTAACATGCATATTGTCAGAGCGTCATAGTGAAATAAGGCGTGGCGATTTTCAAGGTGTCTAAACTGTTACGTCATGTATGTATATATATCTTGTTAGAGAGAAGTTTCTTGAAAAAAATAATTATCAGTTGTGTTGTTAGGTTGGTAACAAAAGATAATTAGCAACAGTTACGTAATTAGACAAGAGAAAATCGAAATTTCGGTGCACATGAGGTCAGATGAGTTGATGGTGGAATACTATAGATACATTGATGACACATTCACTGTATGCAATGATTTACTGTATTGCACCATCAACTCATCTGACCTCATGTGCACCGAAATTTCGATTTTCTCTTGTCTAATTACGTAACTGTTGCTAATTATTTTTTGTTACCAACCTAACAACACAACTGATAATTATTTTTTTCAAGAAACTTCTCTCTAACAAGATATGCATATATGTAGTAACACTTTAGACACCTTGAAAATCGCCACGCCTTATTTCACTATGATGCTCTGACAATATGCATGTTAATGGACAAAAGTTTGTTAAAATTGTACACTTTTTTATTTTTATTTTATTAAAGAATTCAGATTGTATGCGGCTGATGAGAACCGATGAAATAAAATGGATCCAGATTATTCTGCGCCAGTGTTTCTTCCTTTTTTGTTCAAATTGATGTAGTGGTTGGCAGTGTCCAGTAGAAATCCTCTGTGACCATATTGTGGTGAATCCTCAATATTTTGTTCGTGTAATACAAGCTAAATGAATTAATTATTGAGATGCAGAGAAACATAATGGGTTATTATTATTATTATCGCAATTGACTCACAGCTCCCCTTTCACTTCTGTGCACCAGTTGTATGATAGTCTGCAAGGCATGCAATACTCCCCATACTTCATTAGATTCAATATCAATCTTCCCATCCAGTATGCTTATTTTGTCTTCAACGGTTATTTAGTTAATTATGAATGCATATTATGAAGAGGAGAATTAAACCTACGTGATTCATCCATGTGTTCACTAGGCCATAACTTATTCTGTGATTCATCACAGCCACTTGTGATGACAACACTTAGTGTCTTGATGCTGCAGGATGTCTTTTCACCATCGTTTGACATTGGCAAACGTCGTGTATGTAGGAGACGACTGCCGAATACTTTCATTGCTTCGTTGAATATGTAACATGATGGATAATCGTGTTCAATTGCAAGTAGGTTGGCCACACTACACAACGATTCGCTCATCTTTGGTTTCAGTGGTATTGGCCTTAAGGAACTGACCATATTATGGGGAATTATTAGAAACATGAAGCGAATCAAATAGTTAGTTGTCATGATGCTGACTTTCTGAAAGCTTGGTATGAAGATTGTTTCAACATTAGTTGATATCCTTCGCCTTCCTACGTGTTTTTGTATTTTTATTTTATTTTTATTTTGGTTACAGCTTGATGTCACACCGTATTTTCAGTACAAGTATGGCATTTTCAGCATGGATATCGGTAGCCCAAATTTTGCAGGCCGACCATAGATATCGGGTGTGCGCCGGTAGGGGCTCGAACCTCGGACCATGTGAATGGTCGGCGAGAGTCCTAACCACTGTGCCACCGACGCTTGTGTTTGTGCGTGTCTACATGAGTTCTTGTTGTTTGTTTTGTAGACAGATTTTGTTATTCATGAAGGTGAGGTGAATTACCTAGTCGAAGCAGATGCGGCTTAAAATCGTCTTAGATACTGACATCTGGAGTGAGTGCCTACCCATTAATTTTCAACAAACTCATTAAATGACTTCATTTAGGTATGAATTATTGAATAACCACAACTGAATTAAAATAAAAGTGGGATAGAGTGTCTGAAGTATGAAGTGCAGACAGAAAAATAGAAAGAAAGTCCTCTTTCATGATTACTCCTCTTTTTTATGATGAACATCATGTGAATCTTACTTCAAAGACTATTAGTCAGTACTGTTATATTACAGTGTACCATGTCATACTATCTTTGTGACACCAGAAACCACAGATAGCACAAACTTCATACTGAACCCTACAGATGACAGGTGTCACGATTTCGCGACATATAACAAGATTTGTCAACGTGATGATAAACTGCAAACAGTACTCGGAAAGTAGTTTCCAGAGTGACTGGCAAAATGATGGTACAATATACACTGATGTTAATCCAAATACCGATAAAGAAATTTTCCATTTGTGTAGTGTAGTTTACAGGTTTACATGGACATATCTGTTAATGATAAAATAAAGATTTATTTCCGACAGTATGTGAAGAAATAGTACAGAAATCTTCAGGGTGTTTAGCTCCAAAATATTTCATCTTCTTTCAGGATTCACACGTAACGTGATAATCTGAAGTATACGATGTGACGTGGTGTTATTGCATAGGAAGAGAGAACTCGCTCTACACATTTGCTATTCATTTTTCTTCAAGAATTCCACAATGTTTTGTTGGAAGCTAATTAAATATGTGTGCGAGTTCATATATTGATCATGCCATATAACTGAATGATTAAACCAATAAGAAATGAAGAAGAGTTCAAATATTTCGATAGATAGATAGATGGGAATTCCGGTAGCCTGGCGATTTAAGTAGGCCTCCATGTCCAAATCTTGGACAAAGAAAACATTGAAAACACCAGGGAATTTTTAGAAGCTTGGTATTCACGTGAATCGACAGCTAATGGGCATATTGACATAGACAAGATTCACCAATCCATAGGAAGGAAGTCACCTCGAATTTAAGCATACGCTGAGAATGTTGCCTACTAAGACAGTCAAAGCTCCGCAACTAAATCATTGAGCTGGTAGAATACGGCTACACCAAAACGGAGTTAGTAACTAAGAAAATCCACCTGACAAACTTTGTTAAAAAAGCATGAGTAACTAAAAGATTAGATACAAAACTAAGTGCAGTCGTTTAACGTGACTAAAAACAGCAAAGAGAATGATTCTACAGTGCTAGTACCACTGAAATACTGATATGAGGGAATTTTTCCGTTTCAGGGGCTACAACTTTGGCCGCATGTCTCAACATTCAATAGTTGAAAATGCATAAAATCTGAATTAGTAATAGGTGGAAATTGGTGAAAAGTGGTCTTGCGAAGTAATAAAATCATCAACTAAATATCTTTGATATTCCCGAACTTGCGGCGAGCACTGCAATTCTATAGTCAGGATATACCCAGAAGATTAGATGCTTTCACTTTCTATTAGTTCCACATCCACTCGGAACTAAATCTAGGTACACTAAATCTAGGACACAATTTCATTAAAGAAGGCATCTCATTTTAATCCAGCAGACTGACAACATGAACTCGCGTGACTAACGTGTTTGTTTAGATTATCATCATTGGAGCACCCTCACTTAACTGAAAATTCAGGTGTAATATGAAAGGTACAAATTAAGCGAAGGTGGATTGATCTGGTTTGTTAGTCAGTTGTTGGTTTCCTTCCCAGTTACGTACACCGTTGAACGTTATTCGCAACACCCATTTCATTATGGCGGAAAATGCATATTAAACGATGCTGAACGTTTCTCTGCCGCTTCACTCACATACACTACACTGAGTTTTCGAAATAAATTTTCAAACTATGTGCCTCTGACTTACGCATCTAATGAGAAGACGAACGAATACTCACCAAGCAAAATTACTCACCCAAACTTTAAATTACAGTTTCCTAGTGACATAAGACACATGAAGCGGGTGAAGAACTATGAGTCCATTACACTGTCCAGAATACATTAGAATACAGTCCACCAGATCACTATCGACCCAGGAGACTGGCCCAGTATTGAAAGAACAACAAAGACAATTATCATATATTAACAGCAAGCTGATATACAACAACACAAACAAAGATTCACCCAGGCTCGTAGTCTCTAAGATTACCAGAAAATTTGTATTCAGTAATTTTCACTTGTTATCATATCCTGGGGTGAAAGCCTCAGATAAAATTATTTCTGCAAGATACATTTTTAAGCCTACAAAGTGATGTGCAGAAGTGGCCGAGTGAGTTTACGTGATGTCCGAGGGCTAAAGTATGTGGATAGTCAGTGTCATCTCTCGGAAGCTTCTTCCAGCGAAAAACTCGGTTGACCCATGTTCATAGGGATTTGGTTGTTCTCTTAAAATACACTTAGGAATTCGTTTACATGTTCGCCTGCATTGATGAGCTCACCAGGTTCCCAGTAGCCTTAGTGGAACCAGTTGCTAATTTAGGTGTGCCTATAGTTCTAATCACCGTCAGAGGAAATCAGTTTGTGTGAGAACTTTCCAACAAATTGTCGAAGCCTCTAGAATCACAAAGAATTCGCTGCTCAAGACATAACTCTGAATTCAACGGAGCAATAGATTGCTGTCTAAAACACAACGTACCTCCAAATGGTTAATACTGATGCTAGGAGCTTAAGTTAAAATTATGGTAAAATAATTGTATTACTTTAAAGTAGTATAAATTGTCATACTGAAATAACGGACGACTAAATTATAAAAATACATAAATCTATTGTATAACAACCATGGACTGTCTAAATATCTCATCTGTTGCTGTTTACATATGATTGTCGTCTGGATTTTGTAGGAGATATATTCCCATGACAACATTCTGGCACTAAAAAGCATGTTGTATGATACCAACTGGGAACTATTTACTGACGATAAGTTGGATGCTACTGTCTCTAATATAACCGATTATCTGAAGTTTCGTTTGGATATTTGCTGTCCATATGAAACACTGTTTTCGAGATTTGACAGAATCTCTTCTTTGCAGCTGAAAAAACTTAGAAGACAAAAAGAGAAGTTGTATAAGAATTGTGATAATACTGGTGTCCGTAAAATAAACACCCTTATAAAAATTGAAATAGAAAGATTGAACAGACTATATAATGAAAAATTTTTATCATGTAAAAATCCTTCAAACATTTGGAAACTTTTCAATAAACTTGCAAGTAAAAAACAGATGTCTGTTGATGCTTATTCTGATGTTAATGCTTTAAACAAACCATTTATCATGGAACAAATTAATATGCCTGTACCTGATGTACCTAGTCAAGATAATGGTCATTTTCCGGGTTTTAAAGAAAAGGATGTATTATTATGTTTGAAATCTTTAAATCCAACACACAGCCTTGGTCCAGATGGTGTACCAGGCATTCTTCTTCAAAAGTGTGCAGGCATCTTGTGTCATCCTCTTACTCAAATCTTTAATGCATCATTCAACAGGGAAATGGTACCTGCTGACTGGAAAGAAATCAAGGTTGTACCCTACAGAAATCATCTTCTGGAGCAGGTATAAAGTTTAGACTGGTCGCTATAACACCTCCTTTTTTGAAAACTATGGAGAAACTTCTTTTGAATATTCTTAAACCTTCTTTAAAAGCTTTTAGTGACCCTAAGCAGTTTGCTTATAAGTGTGGAAGAAGTACATTAGATGCAGCCATTGTACTACACCACAATATTGTTTCCTGCATTGATAAGGGCGCTAAGTTCCTTCGAACAGCTTTTTTAGACTATACTGCAGCTTTCGACTCTGTTCCTAGGACACTTTTATTAGGGAAGATGATTTCAGCACAAACAGAGTCCTGGGCAACTAGATGGCTGTCTTCTTATTGTAAGGATAGGAAACAGCATACTGTTTTGGCTGGAAAGCGCTCCACTTCTCAGCTAACTGAAAGTGGTGTGCCTCAAGGTGCAGTACTTTCTCCATTTCTTTTCTCTTTCTTTTTGCATGACCTTCCGAACTCACCCAAAGTTAACTTCATTAAGTATGCTGATGATCTGACCGTTTCTGTCCCTGTAGTTTCCACATCGGATTGTTCCCATATGAATGGCTTCTTAGCTGAAGTTAAGGATTGGTCTGGATCAAATGGTCTTAAACTAAATCCAACTAAATGTAATACTGTTGATTTCAGCTTGAGAAGTGAAAATGACATGCATGGATTGATCCAATCTCATGATTTTTGTAATATTGATGGTAACATGATAGAGAGTAAGTCAAGTGTTTCTTATCTTGGCATTAGTTTCTCTTCAAACCTTTGCTGGTCGTCTCATATTCTTATAGTTTCTAAGAAAGTTTTCCGTCTGACTTATTGCATAAAGAAGTTGAGGCACTCAGGTATAACCCAACCTCTTCTCATACAATTTATTAATTCATGTGTTTTGCCCATCATTCTTTATTGTTCTCCATTATTCTTTCCCGGGCTATTCAAGAAAGGCCGTATAATACTAAGAAGAACATTGAAGGCTGTAAGTAGGGTCAGTGCTATCCCTTTGA